GTTAATATCTACTTACATATTACAAGTTAAAACAGAAAATGATGGTGTATGGGGTTTATATACTTTTGTGTATGCCTCTGTGTCTAAACCTATGTGTACATGAAAGCCTAGCAGAGGTTAAAGTCATGGGCAGGGGCTGCAAGCATGAGTGTATCCAGTGCAGAATGTGTACACATGTGTGTATGCAAGCATGGGAAGGGCATGGCTCACGGCATAGTAGGCAGCTGCCCCTCAGCCCAACCTGGTGAGGCTCCTGCTCCCACCAGCCCATGGCAGCTGCTCAAGGGACCTGGGCAGAGCAGCTCACAGGTTCTCTGGGGCTGGGGATCTGTGAAGCTCAAGCTCCTTGGTTGCAGGCCCAGAGGATGTGTTCTATGCTATGGAGGAGCCCCAGCCCCTGAGAGGACAGTTTGCCTAGGGAGGGGAAGTTTGCCTGGGGAGGAGATATAAAGCCTATCCCCTTGATGTGGGAACTTTATTAGCTCATCCTTATCCAGCACAAGACCCATCCTCATCTATTCAAATGGATCATTTATAGCTTTCCCTTCAGCCCAAATGACATTCGCTTAGCAATTGGCCTGTTTGAAACAGCCGGAGTATTAGAGCCACAGGCTGCACCATCATTCTGAGCTAGGGGTACAGCTTTTCTGAGCTAGCCTCATGGGAGAGGGTAGGAGGGAGGTGGGGGACATTCAGTTGGTCAAGGATCCCATGGAAACAGGCAAACACATTATCCACTCCAACACAGGCAATTTTTTCCCCAGGGTGGCTAATTAGCAGCCAGCTACTCAGGCTCTCTACTTGACTTGCAGAATTAGAATGCTCAGCACAGGGATATGTGTTTATCTCAAAATCTGCCATTTCTCTCCCTGAAGCAAGAGAGGAGTTCTGACTATTAGTTCTGGAGCCTGGAGACTGCTCAATGGCATATTTGGGGGCCTGGTTGGAACTCCCTCTCCACAGAAATGCCCACCTTGCTGGAGGCCTCCAAAAATGGCAGGCTTACCAATGCAGGCACACAGGACATGTCCACATACAGGCACAAAGATCTCCCCACTTACATAAATATGACACAAAGGCACAGCCACACAAATCCACCCTTCCTCAGAGATGCACGTCTATGCACAGAGAGGTACAGGCCCTCAACCAGCATGCCCGCTCACACAAACAACGAGATACTCTGCAACCTGCGCCTATAAACACACACAAAGAACCACACACCTGCACATGTGCGCGCACACACACACAACTAGACTTACATGCATACAGTAGATACAACTTCACAGGCTCCCTGGAACAGGTATGTAAGAGCACACACATGAAGACGGAGAAGCTTCTTTAACAAATCTACAGAAAGAAAAATTCTCAGAAACTAGCCTCAGTGATTCTCAGTCAGAATCAGGTATGAGATCATCTGAGAAGATACTGCAGATCAGATTCAGATATCTGACACCAGATTCAGAAACCATCTGCAAATCAAAATTCTCCTATCAGAATCACCAGAGAGTTTTGCATAAATACTCATTTTAGCCTCCACCACAGTCTGATAAGCCTCTGGGGGTTAGGCTTGTGACAGTGTTAGCCAGGTGAGTTTTGAAAAGCTCCTTGGTATACAGAACACTTTTATTATTAAAAATAAAAATAAACAGTTCATTGCTATTAGGAGGAAAAGCAATTTGATTGGGAGAGAACTGTTAGGACTTTTTTAAATGATGGCTTTTTTGTTTTGTTATTTCAAGAACAAAGAATAACTCAGAACCAACTTTTTCCTGGTTGGTTTCCTTATATCAGCAAGAAACAGGAACAGTAACAAATACAACTTACTCAGACTTTGATTCAGCCACAGATGTTTCAAACTCTGTCTAAACTGGAAGGGCCCATCCCTTCTTGGTACAGATAGGGAAACTGAGGCCCAGGCAGGGCAAGCTGCTGCTCAAAGTCATATAGCTATTGGTGACTGCTGTGAGAAGAGACTGTTCAGAGTGCACACAGTAGGTGCTCGAAAGTGTTAGCTGCAATATTATGATTATTGTTCATATCATTGTAATTCTAATCATAAGTCATTATCATTGACAGAGCAAACCTAAGAATCCAGATCTTCCTGCCATCTGGCTTATGGACTCCGGGTTTTCTCCCCAGTTGAGAAGACAGTGAGGGTGCAGTGGAAATCTGGGCACCCTGCCCAGTCCCACATTCTCTGATTATGCTCTGATAGATGTGCTCCAGTTCTTCCGCGCTCGCAGAGAAAGGGGCAAAAGAGGGTTGCGGGGTGTGGTAAGGGTGGCAGCAGGATGAACTTTGGGAGGGGGGAGTTTCCGCTCCTGGTGAGGGGCTTCAAAGGACAGCAGCCTACTTCTGCCGCCTCAGGAGCGGGGGCCTTCAGAGACAGTTTTGGATTAGCATCTGGCAGGACAGAGCAGTTGCAGGTACTGGGACTGGGAGCGCCCTTTCTGCCTGTAGCTCTCCGGAGAGTCTCTTCAGGCCAAGGAAAGCTTTGTTCTCACCACTTCTCCAGGAGCCAGGGCTGCTGGGTGGTCTAGGGCGAGGAGGGCAGAATGGGGGTGGGGCAGGGCAGGGCCCGGTGCCGGAAGGAGTATGGGTCCAAGAGAGGGTTGGAGGATGGGGGAGTGGAATCTGTGTGCGTGCATGGGGAGGGCTGGTGCAAAGGGAGAGTTGGGGTCAGCATGGGAAGGTCTGGAGGCGCTAGCGGAGTAGGAGAGACCAGCAGAGGTCAGAACCACTGGGAGGGTCCAGGGAACTAGGTGGGGGTCAGCAAGGGTGGCGGCATAGACGAAATCCCCCTCCCCAGACCCTGCCACCCCAGGTGGCTAATGGCAAGGGTCCACCTCGAGGCGCTGAGCCCCCTACACTTTGTGTCTGGCGCTCCAGAACATGTGGTCGACACGCCCCCGTTCCCCCCTCCCACCCCCGCCGAAGGGCTGCCATTTGGAACGCATTTGCAGACACATGGATTGTTTTTAAGTTAATGCTTTTTAATTCACTCTGTTTCCCAGTTGTCGTTTTTTATTGAAAAGGCGGATTCTGCCGGTGTGTGTTCCTTTGCGGGGGCGGCGCGGGGCGGAGGGTTCTTCACCGGCAGAGATCCGAGGAGAGGCAGAGACAGACAAAGGCACAGTGAGACGACAGGGAACGAATAAACAAGGTCAGAGAGCAAGAAAGAAACAGACTGGGAGAGTGATGCACAGAAGCCGAAACAGAGACTCGGAGAACTCAGGAGGGGGAAGGGGAGCACACGCAGTCCTAGGGGCAGGGAGAGTGCTGAGAAACCCTACTCCGGGGGATATCGGAAGTCCCCCACCTTCATTTAAGGCCCCTGGGGCCGAGCTTGCTTTCCTTTGGTTCTCTGGTTCCCTACCGCATAGACGAGGCTGAACTGGCCTCAGGGAGAGGGCTGGAAAGACGCAGCGCGCAGAGGACTGAGTACGCAGAACCAGGGTGGCCGGGGCTAGGGACCCGAGATCCGACCGAGGAAAGGACCCGCGCGGCGGAGGAGCTGCCTCCGGGTCTACGCAGACCTGCTGTTTTCTAGCCGAGCGGGAATCCCGCACCGCGGCTCTGGAGAACGGCATCCCTGGGCTGCTGCGCGGCCGAGGGCGAGCGCCCCAGCCCCTCTGAGCCGTGCCTCCACCACCTGTAGGAGACGAGTGCCGGCGGCCAGTTCGAACGTGTGGTGGCGGAGGGTAGAAATGGCTCAGGGGTTGGAGAGCAGACGCGGTCGCAGACACCTCGGCTTGGCAGTTACAGCCGAAATTCCGGGATTTTCGGCCTGGCTGCTGCCCCGCAGGTCCCAAGTTCATGCAGGACTCTCGGGAGCCCCGGAGAGAGCGGACCCGAGCGCTTCCTTCCCTCGCAGCTGAGAACCGTTTTTTCGTTCTCTCCTGGCCCCGGGACCCCTCTGCTCCCCATCTGCATCAAGCTCTAGAGAACCGTGCCCAGGGGCGACCTCAAACGCACGAGTGTAGACACAGCAGCGGACACACAAAGATGCTCACATGCCATCACTTGGTGGTCGTGTAGACACTGGGCACTCACAGATACACGACACAAGGTCCGGAGGCCTTGGAATAGACCCTGTCCCCGGCCTGGGTGCAGGGGTAGCGGCTCCCCAACAGCGTTCACCCTGGGAGTAGCTCTCAGGCCCGGAGTCTGTGAACTGAAAACCAAGGACAATTAGAGCTAATTACAGGTGTGCGGACAGTCGCAGTCAAGAGCGCGGCCAAGAGCGCGGGCATGGGGCCGGGCGGCCCACCTCTCCCCTGCCCGACCCCCGGGGATCCTGCCTCAGCAGTGCAGCTCTGCGGGCAGAGCTCGGGCTGAGGGCGAGGGAAGGGTGCAAGAGCGCCCGGGACCGGAGTGCTGGAGAGCCCTCCGCCTCCAGGGCGCGGCCCGACATCATATACGTGGGCGCGCGCTGGGCCCGGGAAGCCTGGCGATGGCGGATCGCGGCCGGGTTAGAAGCTAGGACCAGAGCTGGGGGCCGAACACTTCCCGGCCTTGTGCTAAGCTGGCCCCGGCGAGGCGGGCGCGAGGATTTGCGCCTTTCGGCTTCTCCTGTTGTCTCAGCCTCCTGAGCATCTCTGGATCTGCAGAAGATCCGTTCGCCCGCACGCTGTCGTCGCTCGAGGTCGGGTCTCCCAATGAGTGCCCCCCTGGCGCTGAGGCCACAGGACGAGGAAGGCACAGAATCTGGTGCTGGAGTCGGCACACCAATCTTTCCCAGATGAGCCCCACGACCCCTGAGAGACCTCTCAAAGCCTTTGTTTGAGCGTCCATAAAATGGGAATGCAGGGTCAATGAATGCCTTGTCTGAGATGGAGAGTCTAAGAGGAAGGAGAGGCGCGAATTCCTCAGGTGCGAATGGGACTTTTCAGTTTGCACTAGTGGCCCGAATCAGCTATCTCATTTTGTGGTTTCTATAGCCTTTGGCGGGCTGGATTGGAGTGGCGGTGGGAACCGGAATTATATTTCTGTATTTACAGATGAAGCTCAGAGAGGTCAAACGTCTCAGAGGTCACACAGCAGGGAGAGGCAGCTGGTTTTCCGGACTTCAAATGTCAAGTTCAGACTCTTCGCCACTCCCTTCCATCCCTCTTGGACGTCTCTGGAACCCCAGGAACCTCCCAGTGTTCTGCGAAGCTTGGGAGCTCCGAGCGGGAGTGCACCTCACGAACAGCTGTAGCTGTCTGCCAGTCCCACTGCCCGGGCTCGCTGTGGGCCCATGGCGCCCCCTTGCGCTCGTGGTCGGATGCTCACCCGCTCCTCACCCGACAGGACTCCAGCCAGGCTCCTGGCTCCTCTGCCTCAACCTGCAAGTGTGCAGGAGAAGGTTGACTGGCTGCAGAAAGGGTGACATGAGGTGACACAGGGTTTTGATTTGCATATTATACTCTTGGTAAACTAAAGCACGCTGTGCACTCGGCCCCAGCGCTTGGACACCACTGCAGTTTCCCCTGTGCTTCCAACCCTGTTCTTTTTTAAAATTATTTTTTATTGGAATAAAGTTAACATATTAGTATATTGGCTTCAGATGTACAGCATAGCGACTCAATAATTATTTACATTACTAAACGCACACCACAGTAAATGTAGTTACTCCCCACTACCATACCGAGTTACTATAATATTATTGGTTATATTCTTTATGCTGTACTTGTATTCCTATGACTAACTTATTTTACACTTTGTACCTCTTTATCTCCTTCACCTATCTCACTCATCCCCTATCCTCCTTCCATGATAACCAACAGTCTGTTATTGGCATTTATGGGTCTGTTTTGTTTTAGATTCTACATATAAGTGAAATCATATGGTATTTGTCTTTCTCTGCCTGGCTTATTTCACTCAGAATGACACCCTCTAGGTCCACCATAATGTTGCAAATCATAAGATTTCCTTCTTTTTATGGCTGAGTAATATTCCATTATATATATGTACCACATTTTCTTTATCCATTCATCTATCAGTGGGCACTTAGGTCTTCCACTCCTGTTCTTGATCTTTACAGGAGTACAGTGAGGTGGCCAGGAAAGGAATAATTATTCCCAGTATACAGATGGGGCAACTGAGGCAGGCTCAATGCTACTCATGGGTGAGTTGTGGAATCAGCATCCAGGCTAGATCTGCTTCCCTTCCTTGCGTTTGCACCTCATTCCAGTGGTGGAATTCTTGCTCTCTCAGAGGTTAAGGAAAGGACTTTGGAGTTAGACTGGTACCTACTCAGTGGGTGCTTTCATCTGGGAAGATGGCTCCTTCTGTGGAGTGGACAGGGGGATGGAGATGGCCCCTTCTGGGACCAGTGGTGTATCTGGCACCTTGGGGATCTGGCTCATGCTGGGACTTGAGCAGCAAGCAGTTGTCTACCTCTGCCAGCCCTGCAATCCACTGACTTTGCCCAGGGCCTTGGGCAGGTTATGGGAGGCCTCCTCCTCCTTACAGGTGGGGACATACAGGCTCTGAGACAGAAGCCACTTTTCTAGAGCCACACAAGAAAAGCTTTGGAGCTTGCCCCACAAACATGGAGGCAAGGAGGCTGGAGGAGTGAAGGTTGGGTCTTGGTGGAGAAATGAGCAAAGGAGTAGGTGGCAGATAAAGACCCGAGAGGCTTTCAGGGGAGCAGGGTCTCAAGGGTGCCTAGTGCTGACACAGTAAAGAGATGAGGGCACGAGACATAGTTGGGGCAGGGTTGTAAGGACAGAAAGGACTGTGGAGATGTAACACCTCCACTCCTTAAGACTGGGGGTCTGGACTAGGAGCCCTCTTGGGGGTGAACCAAAAAGAAAGTGGAGCTTCCTGAGACCTAGCTGGGAAGACAGGAGCTGGGTGCAGGTGCAGTTTGAGTCCAGTGGTTCTCACACTTCTGGAGCATCAGAATCACATGGAAGGCTTGCTAAAGCCCAGATTGCTGTCCCTACACTCGGGGTTTCCGATGAAGGTCTGGTGTGGAAGTTGGCATTTCTAGTAAGTTCCCTGGTAATGCTGATGCTGCTAGTCCAGGGACCACACTTTAAGAATCATGGCTCTGACTCTTTCAATAGCTTCCCCTGGAGCTCCAGGCTCTCCAGTTCCACATTCAGAGCACATCTGTCTGGGTAACTTATTCTGATCAGTTTCAGAGAACTTTGCCCTCAACCTCAGAGGGGCAGTGAGGCTGGACCCCCAAATCCCTTCAATCCTGGACCCTGTGCTCCCATGGCTCAAAGAAGAATAACTTCTCCATCTGCCAGATGGGGCAGGCAGACAGGCTTCCTGAAGGAGGTGGGCTGAACTTGAAGGACTGCTAAAGGGAAGTTAGGGCAACAGCTGGCCAGAGGCTGAAAGGTGGAGACTGAGGCAGAGTAAGACCCTGCCATGGTTGTTGTAACAGGGCAGGGACTTGGGGTCCTGCTGTAATCCTTCCCCTGAAGCACACACAGCCCCCGGGGGGGGGGCGGGGAGGGGGACTGCAGTGAGTGTCCTGTGGGTCTGTCTGGGGCCGGGCCGGGGCAGCTGTAGAGCCCTTCAGATGGTGGTTCAACTGGGGCTGGGCAGGAGTGGCTTCAGTGGCTGCCCTTCCTGCCTTGGTTTCTCCATCTGAGGAATGCTGGTCATGTGTTTGCTGTTTCCCTGACCTTCCCAAGCTGCCAGCAGGATAATATATGGAAATTGCTTTGACCTCCTGAGAAAAGAGGGGCTCCAGGAATAGAAAGTTCAGCCGCTAATCCTGTCCCACCAGACTTCCCACTAATTCCTGCTTCCGATGTCAGCCTGGCAGGTTGAGTTTAGCAAAAGAAAGAACAACTTAGAGGGATGATGGTTTTTCTAATGGCCCCAGTTCTCCAAACACATCGGCAGGCTATACACATGCACACACAGCCTGGTCACAGGCCCACCCTCACACAGCCTGTCCCTACTCTCATTCCGCATACCTCTCATGGAGCAGTCATAATTGTGGAGAATAATTAAAACTAACATTTGCACAGTGCCCTGTCATTGACAGTTCCACCCTGCACTGTCATTTAATCCCCACAACAACCCAAGAGGCAGGGATTACTGCTATTATTAACTGAGGCTCAGAGATGTTAAGTGACTTGTCCAAGGTCACTCCACTGGTAAGTGATAGGCATGGCTCCAACTTAGGTCTCCTGACTCCAAACACTATTCTCTTCCTGCTGTCCCATGCTCCTTCCTCCATGCATTCACACACATTCACTTGTTCCTTTAGTCATTCATTGAATTCACTCAACAGGTGTTTATTGTACATAAGCCATGGGCCAGACTCTGGTAGGTGCTAGCGGCTTTCCCACATCTCACCTAGTTCTCATGATGAACTAATGAGCTGGGCACTTTTCCCATCTCCATTTTAGAGTAGAGCAAATGAGAACAGGGAGACTAACTCACAGAGCTGAGATCTGAGCACACAGTGTTACTTGAGAGCTCCAGCCTTGTGCTGTCCTGGCCCCACGTACACTCACACCCAGAATCCCATATATACTTCTGCTTGTGCGCTGCACATATGTGCTCTTCCAGCCCCTACTGTCCTAGGCGGGGCTGGAGCAGCAAGTGATGTGTATCAGAGCCCCAGCCAGTCTCTGTCACCCAGACATTTCAACTGAACTGGCCCAGAAAAGGTAGGATTTTCTCCAAAATGCCATTGGCATCTCTGGGGACAGAGTCACATTTTCCTACTGATTACACAACACGGTAGCATTTACAATAGTCACTCCATCTGTCAATATCAGTTGGAGGTAGTAAGAAATGTCCCCCCAGCCCCCACCCTGGGCTGACCCAGGCTGAGAGCTGAGTCAGGATGCAGGGAAGAGGGGACATGGTACCTGCCCTTCACAGAGCCCAGGGTGAAGGAGAGATGTACCCCATTAGGGGTGGCCTGGGGGTTACTGTCACTAATACCCATGGACCTTAGAGTCCTACAGACTTAGATTCTGATCCAGGCTTTGTACTCTCTGGCTAAGTGACCTTGGGAAGTTCAGTTACCTCTCTAGGAGCCTCAGTTTCTTGTGTGTAAAATAGGGACAATGACCCCTCTGTCATAGGGTTATCTACTCAAAGTGAATGGGGCCCTGTTGTGAGCACTGACTGGGTGAGCAGGAAGACTTGAAAGAAGATCAACCTGAGCTGAGACATGGGCTTGGACCCCTATCCTGCCCCCTCTTGGAAAGGCAAGCCCAGTTTCCAAATGGAACTACCTGGTGTCTCCTGCTTTTTACTCTAAAAGAGAGTCTATGTGAAGGCAGATGACAAAGACGGTTTAACATTTATTGTGCACCTATCATTCCCTGTACCAGGCATGTTTGGAGATTGAGTTCAGACCTCTTGTCCCTTGACACTGAGTCAGTGGGTCAGAAAGTGCATGAATCTATGACCTGATCCAGGCAAGCTCATGGATATGACTTCAAAGACTCGGAAACAAGTCATGAGGACCATGTGTGTGTGCATGTGTGTATCTATCATTCTGGAAAGAACATAGGTTTCTGAGGTTTGGGTTTCTTTCCTCAATTTTTTAGTAAAAGTATGTGTATATTGAGTAAATGTATATTGAATACCTACTATGTGCTAGGATTGTTCTAGATGCTGGGGCTACAACCATGAACCAAACGGGCAAAATTGCAAACCTTGGGGAGGCTAGATTCCAGGCAAGGAGATAGGCAATGTTCATATAAACAAAAAACTTGAATCCTAGCTCTGCTGTGTGTCTTTGGGCAAGCCATTTGGCCTCTCTGAGCCTGCATGTCTTCATCTGTGATAGTGCATAATGACTCCTGCCTCACAGAGTGATTCTTAGAGAACATACATAAACTGAAAATTATTGCAGACTGGAAATCCCCTGCTCATTTTCATGATCCTGGGTGTGTGTAAACATGTGTTTGCCAATACCCTTTTTCCTTGGCTCAGCGAATACAGCACCTGTGGAACTCCGGAACTGGTCCCAAATTCCATAAAATCCACAACTCCTCCCTCCAGAAATGCAGGGAGGAAACCATATGGCTCTGATATCCTGGCTTTGGGTTTGGTTTTGCCCCAAGAAAACACATCCTGCAAGTTTCTCTGCTTAGAACTTATTTCCCAAGCTTCTTGCACTAATAAATTTCATTTTAAGGAGGGCAGAGGAGGTTGCATTGAACACTGAAAATGCCTAAGCCTGAGGACAGGGCTAGCTTGGGTGAAGGGGACATAGGACTGATCCCAGGCAGAAGAGAATATGCCCAGTGAAGGAGCACTGACAGAGGTGCCACTCAACAATACTGTCTTTCTCCAAGTCCTCCCTTCCTAGCTCTGACTGAAGAAAACCCTCCCATTCCACTGGATGCAAAGGGCTTGACACCAATGTCCAGGTGTCAGTCCCCACAGTGGCTCCCGTGGCAAGTCCCCCATCCCAGTTCAATTCCTGCCAACCCCACCCATGCCAGCTCAGTTCAGCTCAACCACACACATCCCTGACCTCCCAACTCAATCCAGTCCAACCTGTTCCAACCCTTCTTTACCCAACCTAGGTCAACCTCACCCACCCCAACTCATCCTAA